AAATAGATTTTTATCAAAACCTTTGCAGTCATAAACAAAACAGAGAAAACTATTTAGATCAGACTTTTTTCCTCACTTTCCTCTCAGGGCTTCCGTAGTTCTTTGTGTAATGTGGCTTCATTCTTTTGGGACGCCTGTGGCTCAGGAGGGTGGTCATCCATTTATCAGAAGGTTGGTGGTTTGATCCCCAGGCTTGTCAAAGTGTCCTTGGGCAAGACACTACACCCGAACTTGCTCTCAATGGCTGTCGGTCGTTCCTCTGTGTGTCAATGTTTATGAATGAGTTTCTGTTTCTGGTGAGCAGCCTCTGATCATCAGTGTATGAATGTGGGTGGATCTAATGTCTAAGGCTTTGAGTGGTTGGAAAGACTAGAAAGGCTCTATACAAATACGGACCATTTCATTGATCAGAACTACCGAAACCTGAGGGCGTTCAAATGTCCCAGATGTCTGGAATAATTCTCTATGGAACCTAATTCATACCCAGCTTTAATTGAATCAACCCTTAGATGAGAATCTGTCCAAACAAAAATGTGATGTAAAGTGGTGACATCAGCGCTTCAGTAGAAGCCCACTAAAGAATACCAGAAATTCTGGGAGAGTGAGTCAGAACCACTTCTGTTGTCTATTAAACCTGTTCTCTGTTCTCCGAGCAGCAGCAAATCACTCTTTGTATGTGGTTTATCTAGAAATAGCATTCAGGAAATTTACAGTCCCATTAAGATTAGTCACCGTTGCTGACTGATCCTGTGTCTGTGAGTCTGATATAAGGAGGTGATGAATTAATTATACATAGCCTGTAATGGGTCATTATTTTTGCCATTTTAATTCCATGAATGGTGTGAGGCTGGAAATGTGGATTTAAAACCCCCTAACCTAAGTGTTCGCTCATAGTTTGTTATGCAGACATCTGTAGCAATGAAGAGAATAAAAACACCAACCAGTGGCTTAAAGTAATGTCTATTCATCATGCAGTACCTGTACATTGCAGATTGTTGTAGCATTCCAATCCCTCACATGATAATAGCCATATCATCCGTGAACAGGGGCTTTCATAAATAGCATTCATGTATTCCTATCTTAAACACGTCCTTTCTATCCTTATCAGTCTGCTACAATAGGCTTTCCCTTCAAAGCAGAGGCAGACACTCTATGTGCTGTGATAAAATGGCCCAGGCAAAATAAAACATGGTCTCTATTATAGTAAAATTGAGATTAAAATCCTGAGCAATGTCAAGGTCATTTTATTGCTGGGTGAGGAAACAAATTGGTATTAGAACAGGATGAGCTGGCCTCTGACTATTGAGTGAGTGAGCGTGTATAACTCATGTTGTCGGGACATATATCCAAAGATACACTTACTTAGCGAAACCAGGCCAGGACGGGCGTGGTGGTGGTATAACAGCAATACACAAGCAAACCATTAAAACTAGTGCAATTGCATCTGCATTTTTCTCTGATTTATCAGAATTTCTAACTCAGCTCTGTACCATTTCACCATCTGTTCTGCTACTTGGCGATTTAAACATCCGTGTTGACTCCACTGACTATAAAACCACAACAGAACTCCTGGACATTCTACAATTTTTCAATATTACCTAACACATAGATTTCCCCATCCACACAAGTACACACTCTGCACCAGCACAGACCTCACCATATTCGACCACCTGGCTATCACCCTGGACCTAGACAACCTCACTCCCCTTGTCAAACAAAAGCGCACCACTATATTTCGCAAACTCAAGTCCATCAACCCCATCAACCCTTCCTCTCTCTCCTCCATCCTGGCCGACACCATGCCTGACTCTGCCTTCACTCTGAACGTTTCCCCCACTGACACACCTACAACACCTCAACCAACAATCCTTCTGTCTCGACAAGATTGCCCCAATAAAAACCAAACCGTCTCTTGGTATACAGATCAACTTCACCACATCAAAGCCAAGGGCCGCCAACTGGAACGTCTTTCAGAAAGAACTGGCCTCGCTGTACACTTGGATGCCTACAAACTCCACCAACACTGCAAAGATACAACACTACTCATCGATCATCCATTGGGCTGAAACAACCCCAAAACGCTCCACCATTTACAAATATCTCAAACCCATGAACACTATCTCTACCTCCTTCACTACGAGCAAATTCAACGAATTTCTACACTTTTTCCAAACTAAAATTGACACAATACACAATTAGCTGGCTTGTTCCTCTTCTACCACCCTCTCCGACCCTCAACCCAACCCCCGACTAGTTCCAAGCTCTTCACTCACATCCTGAAACTGGAATCTCTGGCTGCCTCCGAAAAGTAAAAAAAAATCTCCTTTCCTAACCACCTTTCCTTGACCTCGATGGAAAACGTCATGAGGTCAAGGAAAGATGTGAAGGAGAATTCATAAGGAGTTAGGAAAAGAAGAAGGCGGGTCTAAGAGAAACGACTGCTCTTTTCTAGGCGACGTAATTATGCGACAGCAGATGTTACTGACGTGGCTGCCGTGATGAAACTACAATGTTCTGAAGATGGACTACAAAAACCGTATCTTTGACACTGCGTCTGTGTTGTTGTAATGCAGGCCGTCTAAAGGTGGACAACACGGTGGAAAATATTACTTCATAACCAAAATCGCAAAAAGGCAGATAAGGTAGCCTACCAGTCACTAAATAATGGACAGGGTTGTCACATTGAGAATGCTTGCTCACACTCACCCTCCTGCCCACATTCATCAACATGAATCCCAATTATTGTCTGTAAACACAGTGTTTCCCAGAATTGCAGCAAGAGGAGATGCTGAGTGAATAGAGGCTGTGCCCTGCATGGAGCTTTGTAATCAAATACGATTTTACCCATTTTAAATAGTAGCCTAACAAAAAAGAGCGTTGATAATGTGTCAGGTGTGGGAAACGCCTGCTGTAGAGGTCATCCAGCTTGATCATTGCCTTTATTAAGGCGAGGGTGATCAGCATCTGTGACTTAAGTAAAATTAATTAATGATTTTGCTGAAGACTGCTGTACATAACGTGAGTCTACACGCTGCAACATTATCCTCACTTTGATCACGGTCCAAGACTAGTAACTAGTAACTAGTAACTAGGAAATTCTGTGATATGTGTTTAAGATATGCATATTAGCAAGTTATGGCATAAAAGAGAAAAGACTTAGGCTAATAGCCAATGGTAACTTACATGGTGATCAACATCCTTTATCCGTCATGGTCGGTGATTTCTTTTTTAAAATTGATTGTAGAAAACTCTTTATAGCTTATTTCAACAATCCGAAACATAAAACGGTGTTGAAACAACAAAGCCAAAAGAAAACAAACCAAAAGAAAGAAGGTAATAGTGAGTCTTATTCAGTTATCATGTGCTTCTCTATTGGAAGGATTTTGCTAGATGTGGTTGATGGATTTTATCATTTGAGTTTGAGAACGTGCGTCGCTTTAAATGTTGCCGCCGCAAGGGATTGTGGGACGGCATTGAGGCAACTTTCCTTAGCTTTTAGAGAATTCGAACAGCTCTTATCATGGCTGCCACTGAAATACTTCCGGGTCATTTTACTCAGTTAGGAAACTTCCTAAGCAAAAAAGACTTTTCGAACGCAACCTCTGATTGAAGTCCTCAACCTGTGTCCTTGACCCTATCCCCACCTCTCTAGTAAAGGCCATCTGCAAATCCTCCACCACCCTAGTCTCCCATGGTGTCCCTCAGGGCTTAGTGCTTGGTCCCCTCCTCTACATCCTTCAACTTTGACAGATCCTTTGCAGTCATGGACTCCATTTTCACTGCTATGTCGATGACACTCAACTTTACCTCTCCTCACCCAAATCACCCGCACACTCACCCTCATCTTTCTCACTGACTTAAAGTCTTGGATGCAACAGAAATTCTCCCATTCACCTGCTCCACCCAGACCTTTTCACTCAGTTGTGGGATCGTGGCTACTGTCGTGCTGGCGGTTATATTTAAATGTATTAATTCTAATTCAGCTGATTCAGCCAATTAAGAAAAAGAGGTAAATGTTGTTCGTATCTGTTCTTTATAATTTTACCAAATTGTAATGACAATTCTGCAGACATGGTGTGATTACAGCATTACTGTGATTGTTACAGCAAAAAGCTCTGATAGGAAATCAAAAGTGTTAACTCTGGTCAACTTTCACCTTCAACAAATTCCAAGACTGGGGGCACCCTGATGGGCTGGGGGTTGTAGTATGTTCCATCTCTCGCTCCCCTAGTTTCCAGTTGTATCGCTTTGATGACCTATAAATACAGATGTATGTTTGCCCACTGGTTGAGTTTTGGGTAATGGGTAAGTAAAGCATGTGACGTGAGAGAATACTACGGTTTCTGTTTAACAACGCTGCTTTTCTTTTGACCATGTCCACTATCATTTCATCATTTAATCTTTATCAAGTAGCTTTTTGCACCTTTTGCATTAAAGAGTAACTTAGTCAAAGGATAGGTTCACGTTTCAACAATTCTCACATGCCCACACGTACAGTGCATAAGAAGTGGGTTTTTTGGCCGTGATAGCACCTCCAGTCCATACTGGGCAAAAAGGGATGATCATTTTGTATACAAATACATTCTAAAGTTCACCTGAAGCTAATATATGAGGCTTCACTGGCCTGTCTGGTTCAAAGTTTCAAGACTGTTGCATTTCTGTCACAAACACACATGTAACCACAACCAATAGTGATGTCCCAGGACACTGAGCCACCCTGGAGTACAGTGCTACATCATGGCAGCAGGGTTAGAAATTAAACCTGCAGAGACCTCCCAAATGCATACTCGTATAGAAAGAGAACTTTAATACGGCTTTCGTCCTAGGGTGTATAGAATGTCTACCCAAAAATAATGGCTATGGTGTTAACTCAGAGGATTTAGAAAGTCAGATGTTTGAGTTCCGAGACGATGCAGAAGTCCAGTTTAGCCTCAGATTAAAGAAAGGCAGCTACTTTCTATACAGTCACCAGCTGCAACACTGACACAATTAATGATGAGTTAATGATCCAAATAAGACATTTTATTATGCAACAGAAAAAGTAAAACGCAAGTATTCAGAATTGTAATTTTTTTTCTATTTGATGCCTTACAGTCATTGTTTACATTCCAATGTGGATTATAGATGTATACAAACGTTCATCACATGTAAAACTCTTGATTTAAAGGCGTTCAACAATACACAAGACTGATAACTGCAGCTGTAGAGTCTCTGTCTTGTGAGGGACCACAGCTTCTGGTTTTTCCTACGGCCCCTGTGATTGGTCACGGAGCTTCCCACTCAGCTCCTGCAGTTGTGCGATGAGTTGCTCCAGAGCAGCGACACCATCCTGCAGCTCGGCGTGGACCTGACCCGTGGCCACATCTGTGTGCATTTGCTGGAATGGGGTAATGCAAAAAACAAAAGATAAAATAATGATGTAATGCAGTAATGATGAAGTATGATTTATTTGATGGTAATACAGCTCTGTAAGGAATTTTGAGTTTTGTTTGAGTTAGTTTATGCTGAAATGACTACATTTAATATTACTATAGTCAAAAGTAATGTGTGTGGAATTTTAACACTGAAATATCATATTCTTTTTGAGAAACAGGTAACCCTAATTCTCATCACTTTAATAAAACCTTATGTACTTCTTTATGGTACAGAAGAGAATATCAACTATTTACTAAGTAATTTACTGAGTTCTAACTTAATAGTAAGTACATTTATAATTTGTGTTTAATATGAATCATATGTTCAATACGCTGACTGTTAGTTAGTGGTAAACAATAAAAAAAATCAATAATCCAATATGAAATCCACTGTAAAAGTATGTTAGAAATTCTGTTAGATATACCTGACTGGCAGTGTGCTTCAGCCATAAGCAGAGTGGATTTCTGAGGTTCTTTGGAGTTGACTTCAAGAAAAATACAGTTTAAACTATTTGTCTGATCTAAATTGTTTTCTCTCCTGTCTTCAAGACTTAAAAAAAAGGTGTTTTGTCAAGTATTTTGTATATCTGTGAATCAAAAATATTTTGCCAGGATCATTGTTCTTAGTTTATATTTTATCTGTGAAAACAGGTGAAAAAAAGGTTTTTGTCAGGATCTTTTTCCGAGTGTTGTAATACTTACTCGGCCACAAGAGGCTGACATGCACCACTACCACATGAACTAGGATTCGCATCGTGCCCTAACTGCCTAAGCGCCCGACCATCTGCGCTCTCTTCCCCCCCCAATATCCAATTATTATGCACTTTTGTTACGAAATGTAAACAAACCACGTACTGAAATAAATAGGTACAGGGAGCACTTCGCAGTGTCACTGCAGCCAGTTAGGATGTTCCAAGAGACAACAATTTGATCGAATGGATTGCGTCACATTCAGTTAGGGAAAGGTGTAAAAGCATTCATGTTGTCTTCCAGGTTGCGATTAAATCACATTTCTAGGAAACAACTAATGTCACATAACTTGCTAACACAGAATATACAGTATGTACCTTGTGTTTACAGAGCATGGAGAAATTAAACTCACCCGGAAGAATGAATGCTTGGTCTATTTTGAACAAAGAGGAGATGCACTTCAGCCTCTTGTGGCTGAAATGAGTATTTCAACAACAAAACTAAATTATCCGGGCAAAACTTTTTTCCCGACCCGGTTTTCAGTCTTAAACACAGGAAAATATTTAGATCCCACTTCTATACAATTCTCTTATCATTGTAAAATGGTTTTGTGTCACTCGCCTGGTTTACAGCTTTCACAATATTATTTTCTGTTCCATCCAAGAGACAGAAAAGCACTACTGGGTCCATCCTGACCATGAATCATCTTGCATTGTATCTTCTATTACCACCAGTGTATATTTTCTATTTTGTGTAGACTTGTGGAGGAAGGTCACATTTGTCTATAACATTTTTTTTGTGAAGCATGTGGTCAACATTTCCTTAAAGCCACTGAAGCAGCCCTGTTCAGACTCAAGATGCAAGAAAAGAGCAATCAAACGCAGTGACATCTTGACGCTATGAACCCTACCATCAGCTATGAGTCATGGAAAGCAGTGATGTCATGGAGAAGGAGAGTGGCCTTCGGGCCGAGCGGTGGACTGCTGTTCGTGGAGTGTACCTTAGCTTTGGTGGCCAGACTCCTGAGGCTGAGGCGGGTGGAGGAGAGCATCTGTAGAGCTTCGGTTGGATTACTCTTTATCTTACTGCAGCTGATGGTCACTGAGAAACAGAGACAGAGGTTTCAGAGAATGTCCAGCCTGCTGGGTTAGTTGCTTTTGTGTTTGTTTGTTGTGTTTTGTCCTGATTTATGCTTGAGACAGACTTCACAGATTTCCATGAGAAGTGTTTAATCTGACTACAAACAAACTGAGATTAAAACCACTTTTACAACAGCGGCAGCAGCAGCAGCATTACTTCAAACAGGTGCCTTCACAAACTTTCCTACACACATGATGATGGCTGTGTATGACAGCAACTGGACTAAGGACAGAATATTCATAGGTCACATCGCTGCAGCGTTACCCTCCTCCATCTGATTGACAGCTCTACTAACTCTTCCTCTCTGCCACATGGAAGCACTTTAGACTTTGAGTCTGCAGAAGGAAACTGTGTTTCACAGCACTGTCCATCACCAATACATTAATAAACATTTTCCTCCTCACATATCACATATTACCCAACAAATGTACACCACAAAGAAAACATGCAACAGCAACAACAGACAGGCTCCTGGTGTCCTCATCCAGACACCTTGTACAGGGCTTCTGTGGCTGCGGGAACCAGGCTTTTGCCAAAACAAGACCTTTTGCACCTCAGGAACCTGTACCTGCACCCAGAGGATAGTCTACTACCCTGAGGAAATGTGTAGTGCCAAGTTCCATTGATCAACTTCCATGCCTACAATGACTTTCCATCATGTTCAAATCTGAAAACAGCATTTAGGCCACAGAAAAAACAGCACCTAAACAAGATAATAATCATATAGCATATCCATACCTAAGATTACAGGGTTAAAGGTCTGGTGCAATTCTACATTTTTTCTTGTTATTAACAAATCCTATGAACTGACTAAAACCAATAAATGTATCCTATTAAACAGTATTGTGTGTATCAAAGCCTGATACATGTTTTTCCTCTGTGCCATAGAGCTCCAGCATTGTCCAAAACCAATTAAAAACACATCAGTCACTTCCCTCATCACCATGAACACACACTGTAGTTTATTTGGACTCAATCCCACATACACTGTCCTGCTGCCAGAAACACTCGAGCACCAAATGTGGATTAATCCAAATGCTTTAAACGAGTATTCCACTGATTTGGCAATGTACTCCTGTAACACTGGCAGACTCACGATATCGAAGCTACGGAGCCAGAGATAGACTTATTTCATGCATTCCCTTCCTTGTTAAAACCTGGTGCCTACATTACCCACAAAGAAACTCAATTACAAGTGTGTTATGCTAATAGCAGGTAATTTAGCCTGAAGCTGCTAGCCTTAGGCAGAGTTTTCGGGGGGGGGGCTACAGAGTTCTGCTGAGCTCACTTCATTCTCCACAAACAAGTAGTCTTAACCAAAGCTAAGCTGACTTTTCCCGTGATTGTAATACCCATTTTGGTGAACAAAAATCGTTGAAATTTGCTCATTATCCCACATGAATAAACAGAGCAACAGCTAAGCTAAGTATGTCTTGCATTGTGGGTGTAATGAACACATCTGGGGACTGTGAACAACTAAACTGAAATCAGAGACAAATCTCTCCCATTTTCCTCTCACTCACCTCCTCTGCCCCTCTGAGAAACTTGGACTGATTGTTTGGTTAGTGGAAGGTCATGTAGCCAAGAGTGGAAAGTTAAGTGGTCTGTTTGCCTTCATTGCACAGAGAGGGGGCAGGTTTGGTATTAGCAAATATTAAAGATATTTAGAAATATTAATAAAAGGTATTAATATTACAAAAAGGACTAAGATTAATAAATACAGGGAACACAGAAGGAAATTGTCTATTGACAAACACTTTGCCATCGTAAAACATGTGGAGAACGGAAGATACGTATGAAGGTCAGCCGAGACAAATCACTGTGACACAGGCTGCTGCATCCCGGACAATTGCAAGCACTGAGAGAATCAAGGTAAGCTCGTTAATGTAGTTTATCACAGAGTGACAGAGTAACGTCCTGTTTGCATGACACTGAACTGTGTGTGATTTAAGAACATCGCTTAGGAATAAAAAGTCTAGTGTGTAAACAAGTGTCAGTTATTAGTATTCAATTATAAGTCTAAAGTTAAAAGAAAATCACATCTACTTTTGCAGTTTTAACTTATTCCCACAATTTCACCGCAAAAATACCATCAAACTTTGATCGCAAATTTTCAGGAAAGCTGCCGCAAAATCTGGCATTTTAGGCCGCAACAATCACAAAAAGGCCCACGAAATCCTGGAGGGACTGCATAATCCACCAATAACCACAGGGGATGATGATTCAGTCTTGGAGAAGACAGCCGGATTTCACACTGCTCATGTGTACCAGAACAGCTGATGGTGTGTGTAGTCGCTTTACAGGCTGTTCACAGCAGGTCTGAGGACTGAAACCAGCGACCTTGTGAAGTCACTACGTTTCCTGTCCTGGATTCTTTTCTATCTCTGCACTACACATTTGCCCCCTTTTTGACCAAGTAGTCACAGGAACTAATGAATTACGCTCAGATAGGAACTAAATCTTAGTTGGGCATTCCTGTTTTCCTTTCCACTTCATGGCAAGAACTGTCAAGACAAATAAACAAAATTTAGTCCTTTGTTACTTCAGCGGAAACACAGGCGAGGTTCTTGAGTTCGTACAACCCTGTCCAAGCTGCAGCGCACCATTATGTCAGCAACAGAGCCTGACCAATATGGGATATTTTAGACGGATACCAATTTTGATATTTGATTTTAAAAATCTGACATTCCGACATATCGGCAGATAATCTTTTTTTTCTTCTTTTCAGAAATGCATATCAAAGATTATCCCTAATATATATTCTGTGCAGTTATGAGACCTCACCAAGACAACATGACATAATGCAGTTTAAAAAGAACTCCAACTGATTAGGTTAGCTGATTGCTGTGTTTTGTGGTGGATTTGTGGCTTGTGTTGCCAACAGGGGAGTTGTAGAGTGCCTTCTGGTGGACAAACTATGCAATGACAACACTCATGACTGAAGGATCCGTCTTCTGCCTGTCATTTTCTCTTTTTATTGTCAATTATCTGCTGTTATAAACACTGATACCGATTTATCTGCAATTAGCGCATATCGGCCAATAATATTAGCACGCTGATTTATCGGTCTGGCTCTAGTCAGCAATACGCGGTAGTAAGCAGGACTTCCTGTTAATATGACTTTTTGGAACCATTAACTTCTCCCCCTGTATTACAGATAAGTTACTACTGTTCAGTCAAAACCAAGGGGTATTCGTAAAAGGTCTAATGATGACAAAAGGGAGACTCAGTTGCAGATTGTTGTTCCAGGTTCCCTGGAATACAACAACACCAAGGTTTGTGTGTGGATGGTGGATGTATTTGCTGCTAAATGGTGTTCTCACCTTCACCCATATCAGTGGCTCTTTTGATCACCTCCTTGAACAGACCAGGTTCTTTCTCCCAGCCACCAGCCTGAACCTCGCAGCGATGGGCCTTTGACAAGAACTGTAGTGCCTGAAAAACCACAAAATAACGCCGTCAATAGATTAGTTGTCAACTATTATGTTAATTGCCAACTATTTTGATAATCGATTCATGGGTGTGAGTAATTTTTTAAAGGAAATAAGTCAAAAGTCCTCTATGAATAGCTGAATATCTTTGGGTTGTGGACAAAACAAGACATTTTATAAATAATGGAAAATAATTGACTGAGAAAATGGGTAAAGATGGGTAAATGTTAATGTTGCAGGAATGCTGGCTGTGAAACCAACCTTTTCGTTGTCCTCTGGGTTGGAGCTGTGGCCGTCACCATACAGCAAAGCGTATTGCCGCCAGATCTCAGAGTCAGTACTGTGCCGGGAACTGACCCGTCCCAGGAGCTCCTTCAGTTTGGACTTGAGAGTTACTGCTGCTCACCCTGGCGGTCTGTCAGGTTTTCAACAACTGCTTTTACCAGGATCTGAAGAATCTGCCATAAGCAAAAAAAAACAGTTAAATACGTCAATGTCAGATTTGACTTCAAATATAAATCACAATTTAAGTCTCAACATTATGAAATAATTATATATATTAGATGTGATTTTGAATTCTTAGCTACATGTAATGCTTTAATTTCTGTTAATTAAACTGTAGCATTGCTCAGCACGGCCAAAGAAACCAATCTGCTATGGTTCTACAAATGATACACTTATGTTGTATGTAAAGAAAAAGTCAACATACTCTGAGTTGAAACTACTGGGAAGTAAAATTTCTGGTTACACCTCAATCATAGTTGTCAAATCAGATGTTTTAGATCAGCAATTAAAGATAAAACACCTGCTTTTATTTCCACAACTTTACTTTTGCCCATAATGCAATGCAGTGTTTATTTCATCTATGGCAGCCAGGGTTCGAGTCTGACCTGCCATTTGCTGCATGCATGCATTTACAGGTGTGTAGTAAAGATCAAAATGATGGCTGCAAAATACATAGATACTGTTAAAACTAACAAAGGCTAAAAGCTGACGCTGCAAGAACAGTTAGCCATTTTGAATAAATCTGGAACAGTTTACCTGTTTTTCCAAACTCACTTCATGTCATGTGTTCCATTGCACCATACACACTGTGTGATCTCTTCATTTTATTTCCAAAAAACAAGCCCCCCATATACATTTGAATTTGGCTATTTTATGTTATGGTTTGTATCTGTATGTTATCAAATACACAAATTATTACCATAAATGTATATTTAATAATTGAACGTACAAATGTATATACACTTCTTCTTTTCCCCTTTCTTATTTATTTTTATGTTTATGTGAACAAACAATCGCTTGTTTGATCCCTGGACTGGCAGGATAAATCTGGTTGGGCAAAGTGAAAGAGCAGCGCTTGCCCCTAGAAAGCAATTTCAGCAATTTAGTATTGTACTCCCATAAAGTAGGAGGACTCACAAGAATTAGATTTTTTAGAAAGGGCAAAATGTAAGCAGCAGTCTGAGATATTCTGACCTTTAGTCCCTCGAAAACTCTGGATCTTATATTTCCACAACGCTACTTGACAGCATCTTTTATTAGACTCCTCCCTGCCTGGTAAATGGCTAGGTCTTTAAAACTCCACATCAGATTTATGACACAGACTTTCTGTTAAAAATATATACTCTCCAGGCCCAAGTTGTAACGCTGATGACGTCATCAGTTCACTCAACCTAGAGGAAATTAGAGACCTGTTTTAAGACAAGTAAACTGGTATGCATGACAATAGCCATTCAATATATTTAAATTCAGGAATGATCTCTTTCCATAGTAGTTTTCATTGCTACTGGCTGAGTCTGCCATCCCTGTGTTTGATTCAGACTGGGAGACCTTTCTTCACCGCAGTGACAATTAAGGTAAATCAACTGGAAGGCTTTGATGTAATGTCTTTGGAATGATATGTCAGACATCATGCAAGACACCACGGGAGTTTTGACGGCCACATCCTCTACATCTGTTCACACCTCAACACACAGTCTGCTGGAAACTGGCTCCTCAGTGACATACCTGGCCTTTTCTATGTTAAGCAGAAAAGGCTAAAGGTACTGCTGCAAAAACCTACATACATACACTGTGGGTAATATCTGCCAGACTGTCTCTGAAGTCTGTGCATTTGCTGTATTTTCTGTGATGAGATTAAGATTAAATCCCTAAAAAGAACTGCGTTTGATGTTTCCTCCTATGTTGTCCATCTCTGTGTGGAAAAGTGACATAAGGATAAAAACTGAATGGCTGACGTTTTCCTGCTAGTGAGAAATTAAGTTGAAAAGTAACTTAAAGAGAAGAAACAAAAATAAAATCTGTGAAGCTCATTTTGAAGTTTACTTTTAGATTATAACAATCTCTGTATAGTGCCTGAGTGTGAATGCATGTGTGTGTAACTGTAAGGTTCCTGAGTATCCCATTGAACCCCAAGAGGCACAAAGCTGAGCCATGTGACCCTCAGCTCCTTTGAAATCTATCAGCCAGTCAAAGCATATCTGTCAGCAGCCCTCTATACATTCCATACAAGAGGAATTCATGGTGGTCTCTGCCACCATCTCTCCTTCACTACCGCTCCACCTCTCATACTGTGCCTGGGCTAAAACCAAACACAGACAAGAAAAATATGAAACCGAAAAAGGCAGAAATGTTGCTTCTAAAAATGGAACTGTGATCTGATGATGTAGTTTCAGGAGCAGAGTGTCAACACTATTTATGCAAAATACCATTTACAGGTGTGAGATGGATGTGAGTAAAAAATAGAACTGTAAAAATAGTCATCTGAAGTAATGAGACTTTTATGTGACATTTTGAGGTGAAGTTGACAGGTTTGTTTCACTGAGGAAGGCAGGGTAGAAAAAGAGTGATGTAAAGCTTCAACACTTTGATGTAAAAATACACTTTGCTTTTTGTCCATCTGTCCTTTGGTACACAGTACTGGGAAGGGTGGTAAAAATGTGTCACAGTATTCCCAGGTGCAGACAGACTTATAGGGCCATTGTAGATATAAAAAAATGTACGGAGCCGGGGGGGTGGGGGTAATATTCACTTTACCATTAGTACTGACTCTGACCTCACAAATGTATGACTTTATAATCTCAAAATTTTAGATTTTTTTCTCGGAATTTTACCCCCCTGCATAATTTGTTATTAATCTACGGGGCCTAATATTCTGTCGTAGTCATTTGAAAGTTTAATATTGGCTAAAATATCTTTAAATGTCATAGTGTGGGCATGTGTGTCTGGAGAATTGCATCTGGCAACACATTGAAAGTAAAAAACTCAATCTGGATGGAAAAATGTTTTAATGGTTTGCACAGGAATGGGTAAATGCAAGGACCCTGTACTCCTGATGTGTATACCCAATTAGCGGGATGACAAAGGATGGAGACATTGGTTGGTCATATGGTCCATTCAAGTGATTGATTATTCAATTGAATTTCAACAACTTTTAGCCAACTTGCCACGTAGTTTGCTGGGAGTATTCATGATGCTAAAAAAAGCCGGTAAGTGGATCTTTATGTTGAGATGTTTGTGTCACAGATGAGTATGTGGGGAGGGAGGAAAATGCAAGCAGAGCAAAGCCAAATAACATTTTCTAAGCTATCTACTTGGAGCATGGATGCTGCTGCTGAACTTTTCAACTTGTGTGCTTTTACATATTGACTGATCTCAACACGACCAGCATAAAGGATCACGCTGGATGAAAAGTTGCCTTAAACAACAACAATAACCAAACAGGATTACACTAAAGTAAAAAAGTCATGTAAAATCGTTTGTAATCACCCTAAAGAATGTGAATTTGAAGTAGTTTCAGTATTTGTCCCAAGAACACAGGATACCTTTCAGAGCCAGAGTTGTGATTTCAATCAGTCCTGCTGTGCTGAAAGATATAATCTTTAAAGTTAATTGCTCAAACTACGAGACTAAAATTATTACAGGGCTGAAGAAGATAATTAATACTCCTGAAAATGCTACCGCTGGCTGTTTTGGTTTGTTTATTGAAAGCCAATGCTTAATCTTCCCCTTAGAATGCATTGGTGGGTGTGCAATTACCGAGACGTGCTTCAGAGAGGTTTTCCTTTCAGTTGTTGAAAATGACTCTGCATGCGACCACCATGAAAAAGATTTATGAGCAGATTTTGACAAGATTTTACCAGTTGGGTGCATCCTCTGACTGGAAAGGAAATCACCCATTTTGCCTCATACAAAGCTCAATGTGCTCCTCTCAGATACACTGAATCATCTTGCCCTGCTCAAAGACTGCCCTTACCAAGGTGACTACTGATTACGATTATTATCATTAACACTACTATAAATATCTGTACCATTTTTCATTTAGTCTATAGCAACATCACCTTTACTGTCTATACCTCTGTGTGTATATTGTGTAGACTGCCTCCCTCCCCTCTCTCTCTCCTTCCATCCCTCTCTTTTTCTCTCTGTTCTTCTCCTTATCTCTCTCTCTCCCTCTCTCTCTCTCTCCCCCCTTCACCCCAACCGGTGGAGGCAGATGGCCGCCCACCCTGAGCCATGGTTCTGCTCGAGGTTTCTGCCTCTTAAAAGGAAGTTTTTCCTTGCCTCTGTCACCTAGTGCTGCTCTTGGTGGGAACTGTTGGGCTTCTGTAAATAATATCACAGAGTACGGTCTAGACCTGCTCTTTTATAAAAGCGCTGTGAGATAAATGTTGTTGTGATTTGGCGCTATATAAATAAAACTGAAGTGAAATTGAATTACCAGCTTTAGGTCTCCGACATCCCCCCTTTCCCGTGGTGTCCCACAAGGCTCGGTTCTTGGACCATTAATGTTCATTTCTTACTTGGACATCTAATTCTTTGACATATAATTCACCTTTGACTGTTATGCTGACGACACACAACTCTACCTACACACTAAGCCTTCGGACACTCTACCAACATCCAACCTGACGGTATTAATGCTTGGATGACCTGCACCTACCTTAAACTTAATCAGGATAGATCTGAGGCTATCCTCATTGCCTCTCCAGCGACAATTTGCAAAGTCTCCAATCTTAATCTGTCCATCCCTGGTTTTGTTACATCCTCTGTTGCTGAGGCAAAGAAATCTGGGTGTAACTTTTGACTCCACCCTTTGTTTTGACAAACATATTAAAAACATCACCATGACTGCCTTTTTTTACCTAAAGACTGCCGACTGTACAACAACTTGCCCCTTGGGGATAATAAAAAGATCCTAGAGCTTGAAAGAACATCTACAAACTACGACCGTTTCTTTCCTACTTTGATGCAGAGACTACTCTGCCTTAAACAGACTATTGAACAGAATTCAGCTACAGGAGTTCTCTGCCGCACGCGGTCCTGGGAGCACATCACCGCACCCCTTCAGTTACTGCACTGGCTCCCAGTTAAACACCGTACTTATTTTAAAGTACTACTTCTTGTTTACAAATCGTTCCATTAAGAATGGAGTTAAATTAAAAGTCGTCTAATAATTAAATTGAGCTGTGCTAGTCTTTGCCTGAATATTTACAATTTTATAATATGGAGGGAGGTAAGTCTTTAGTAAATTTGTGAACCAAAAATTGGAAGTTAAGTTTTGTGTTTTTAAATAAATGCTTGAACTTCAACAGCCAGGTTAAGGACAGATTTAGCATCTGGGCCTTAACCTGGCCGGGCCTTCTTGCTGTTGGACTAGTCAGTAATATTGCTGTGTCTTGTGTTGCCATACTTGCTTGATGTTTGGCTATGTTAGCAAAGTTGGCGACATCATAGGTTATCATAACAAATGCACGTGAATAGCTGTCCTTATTTACAACAGCGGAGTATAACTGCACTCTGACTGTAGGGGCACAAAATTGCAACAAATATCTTACACAATGCTGCTTTACATTTAACTCCCTGTTCCTTATTAAGTTTCTTGTCTCTTCACTGTTATACAGACCACCTGTGTGTGGCACTCCAGGGATTACGTCTGAGTCACAGCTATGATACATTAATGACCTTATACAACATACTGTCAAAGAGTGAGGCATAATGTCACTTGATGATGGAAAAGGACTGTCAAAGTGAGAGACTCAAAGGATCACTGACTGCTTGCACTACCTGTCTCCACCTCATGATGTAGTTAGATTAAGATGACTTTAATGCCATTCTTTTACCTGGATGTCCTTGTAGTTTTCCCTGAGGTCCATCAGACGATGGTAGGCCTTGATGGCTTCAGCAAAGTCCCCGATGTCAGTGCTAACAGTGATAAAGTTCTCCCAGATCTGCCAGTGTTCGTAGTTACACTTCAGAGCTTCTTGCAGGGTAAGAAAGGCTTTGTTTCTGCCAATAAGTGTGACAGAAAGAAACAGGAAGAAAAAGACAGAAAGAAAACGGTTAGCAGTGAATGAGCACACTAAAACATGTGGATAATCCACTAGCAGCACTTACAACAAAATTCATTTCAACACTTGGTAATGGTTGATTGGGAAGGTACATAAACCAGGTCTTAATAGAAGCCTTTCTACTTTGCTTTTCAATTTCAGGCCTGGAAGCACATGCATCTGATGTTAACAAAGGCTCAGAGACACTGGATACCTCCGTACTGTCACAGCCTTCTCCAGTACGAAAAAACACAGCACAAGAGGCCATGTGTTTATGAGCATAAACATGTCTTTCTGCATCTAGAGCCAAAAAAAACTCAGACTTGAATGAAATCACTTTGTCCCATACATACCTGCGATCTGGAACATTCATAAGTATTATCTGTTTTCTCTTGTGCTTTCTGTATTTACAGCATGGTTCTTTGTTGTTTATGTGTTGTCAAAATGTGGTTCTCAGTTTGCATGTGTTTTATTTATCTGCAATATTTTTGTTCTGTCTAAAAAACTTGTGTTGTCAAAGTATTGAATATGTTTTCTTCATCTGCTTGTGTTTTGTCTATTTGCAACTAAATTGCAGGGCTCACAGTTCTCTTGCCTTGTAAAGGTGCTGCACTGATGCAGCAAAAAAAGATACAAGTACACCCAGTAACAACATTATTAGGGCCACCTAAACTGCTGCTCATTATACAAATATCTTAATCAAACCTAGAAGTGGACAGGACCACATCAGGTTCCCCCATTCTATCAGCTAAGATTGGAAAGGGGTTCAAGTGGACACAGGCTCGCCAAGAGGTGAGTGAGTGTGGGGAAAACTGAAGGTGAGAAATCAGGTATTAAGTAAACACTAAATTAAAGGTGGAGGATGAAGTAGAATTAAAATAAGAAATCACAGCAAGTGTGTGAGACATCACGTTAACAATGACTTTAATCCTCTAGAGATGGTTTTCAGCACTTTTTTTGAATTTCTCTTCCAGGAACTAAAATGGGAGGTGACCACTGAGTGTAGATCCAATATATAACAAGGAAATGGGAGCAACAAAATGTCTGTAACCTAAACAGTGACAAACTGTCATAAACTCTGCTTTAGACATTGATACCAGCATCAGGTTTTCCCAACACAATGATCACTCTTGCTACCAGAGCAAATAAGTTAACATGTGCCGCTCTGTGAATGTTTCCATTACACGTCACACTCATACTCACTTCTTTTGGAGGCGAATGTAGGCCGCAGACAGGTTGCTCCACGCTTCTGCGTTCTGAAAGGAATTGGGGGGAACATAAAGAAACAGAACATAGAGAAGAATGGTTGGTATCAACGGTTATATGCACTGAGGCCGTCAGAGTGTTCAGGGGTTGACCATTTAAAACCTCATCAAACAATTGGGTTCTGCTGCATTCTGTTCTGGCCTATGTGTGTGTGTATGTGTTGTAGACAAGGACTGTGAGTGAAGGAACAGGACTGTTAAAGTGAGAGGCTGATAGGATCACTGACTGCTTGCACCACCTGTCTCCACCTCATGTGTTAGTGAAATTCTGTTCTGCGTGTGTGTGTGTGAGTGTGTGTGTAAGCACTTACATCTGGTTCTAGTCCCACACACCTCTGGAAAGCCCTGGCAGCTCCTTCATGGCCCTCCAGGGCAAAGTAGGCACACCCGAGGGAAAACCAAACCCCGAGCTGTCCCAATACACACACAAAACAATAAAAGTCAATCCAAGCAGTGAATTCATGCACAAATATTTCCAGAAAGATTCCAAAAACTGCAAGAAATACAGATGCAGATTTAAATTCTAACAAGAATCCACAGCAGGTTCAGACTGGCAATTCTGGCAAATACCAGATGGGCTGGCCTACCTAGTGGGCTACAAGGCTGCTACCAGCAATGTGGGGGAAAAACTATGGGGAAAAACATTTTCTCACAGGCCACTTGATGTTGGAACAGCCTATGTGACTGGGGTCCCAAACCTATACTTTCAGGCAGGTGTAGGAAGTGGCACCAACCGTCGTCACCTCCCCTGACCCAACTAACACATCATTTTTTAAAAAGAAAGTTACCAATGCCAGTTACACCAAATCCTGCTAGCTGCAGTGATCACTAACAGCCCGCCAGGCACCTGTCCTGTTGTTAGTGTTAACTGTGTGTATGTACGCTGGAAATCCTGTTGAGACAGGCCTACAGGTGAATTTAGTTATTGTGCTGTTGGCTCAGTGTACTTGCCCAGCCAGTCCGGTCCAGATAAAAATTGCTAGGTCCATGTAGTTTATAGGTTATGTGTATGTCTGTGAAGGTTTTCTGTCATTCAGGTCATAGTTATCCAAGGAAGGTTAAAATCAAGGGCAACTGGACTTGGTTGAAGCTACTGGAAGACGTTTCGTCCCTCATCCAAAGGACTTCTTCAGTTCTGACTGACTGGCAGGGAAACTCAGCTATTTAACCTCAGTGGGGTCGTTGGCCCGGGTCATCGATACTGCTGGTTCGTTAGTGTTCCTTGTTGCTGTGACTACAGTCGTTACAGTCGTTAAGACTACCTGTGGCCAAGACTGAACGACCATCGTTGGTATCTTCACCTGAGGCCAATAGGTTACGTTTGTTGAGTTTCCTGGGAAGTGATGAAAGGACAGCATTGTAAGTGGGGGATAAGTGGTGGCGTAGACCCCCTCCCTGTTCAATGACGGCTTCTCGACCCTGGTGTAGATGCTTCCTTGACACCTCTTTCAAACCATCCATCTTCTCTGTCTAAAATGTGCACCTGGTGGTCCTCAAACGAGTGTCCTCTGTCCTTCAGATGTAAGTAGACAGCAGAGTCTTGACCTGAGGAGTTGGCCCTTCTGTGTTGAGCCATGCGTTTGTGTAGTGGTTGTTTAGTCTCCCCAATATACAGGTCTGTGCATTCCTCACTGCATTGGACCGCATACACTAGATTGCTTTTCTTGTGTTTGGGTGTGCGGTCTTTGGGGTGGACCAGCATCTGTCTTAGTGTGTTCTTGGGTTTAAAAAACACAGGGATGTTATGTTTGTTGAAAATCCTCCTGAGTTTCTCTGATACTCCAGACACGTATGGAATCACAATGTTGTTGCGTTTGACCTTCTTTTCCTCCTCTCCTGTAGTTTTGTTCTTCTTGGATCTTGTGGCTGTCTTCACAAAGGTCCAATTGAGGTATCCACAGGCTGTAAGTGCCCCCTTCAGGTGGTTCTGTTCCTTCTCTCTGGCTTAGGCACTTATTAGTATGTTTGGTGGTGCAGGGTTCTGATGACCCCTAGCTAGTGCTCCAGTTGGGGGTGAGAATTGAAAACTATTGGTCTGTGTGGGGGGGTTTCCTGTATACCCCAATTTGCAGGCTCCTGTTCTCCGAAGGCAAAACTGTTACTACATGAATACATTTTCATAGATTTTTGAATGTGTCTTGTGTGTTTTTGAATTTTTAAATGTGCATGTTTCAAAAAACAACAGTATGAACACACCCTTAACGTGGCATTTCATTCTCAGCAACGTTACTACTTTGCTTGTACCTGCATGCCGTTGATTTTGAGGGACTGCTCGAAACAGTCGACACACTGCTGGAACTCCTTGTTGTGGAGGTGCAGCAGGGCTTTGGAGCGCATGGCTCTGGCGCTGCGTTGGCGTGACAGCTCCCACGCACGGTCATAGTACTGATGGTCCCTCAATATGTCTCCCAGTAGGCAATACAGACTGGGCGTCTCCTTCTTCTCCAACTCCCTGCGAACAATCTCCTCGGCCTGAGCAAATGGATAGCAAAGGAGAGGGATGGTCAGCATGGATGGGGAGATGGCAAAGGAAGAAGAAAGTAGTTGTAGGACAAGAGAAGAGCAAGAAAATAAGTGAGGGTTGAAGGCAAAGATGTAAAGAATTGTAGGGCAGTGTTTGGGATGTAGTAGGAACAGTGAAAAGGTAATAAGTGCAAAAAGAATGTTAATAACAGACATTATAAAAGACAGAGTAATGAGGTGTAAAAACACAGCAGAGGGGATCAGAGAACAAAGTCTGACAGATAAACCCAGAGAAATATGTATGTAGGGATTATGTTACAAGTAAAGTGACTGTCAGATCCCCTGTGGCCATCGTGTGGACTCGTTGCACCTCACCATGCCACTACATGCTTTGGATTGCTCTTGGATGAGGCCCACACTGTCGTGAGAGTGAGATAATTAACAGATTGTTTTCTCTTTCCAAATCCCTGTATCTTGATTTAGATTGTGAAGTGTGCCAGTCTAACCGCAGAAAGGCTGAGGGCCTCTGAGGCCTGACAGAGCTTTCCCTGCGTTCCTGGCTGAATCCTTCTCTCAGAGGGCTGACGCTGAGCCAAGAGCCTACCCCGCCTGGAGGCAAGTAACCCCACAGTTCTTAGCTAAACTACACAACTCTGAACAGGATGGACTAGATACATTCTAGAAACATTCTGCAATTCAAGTGCACCATGTACTAAAGCTGATTCCTTACTGCAGCGGCCTTTGCTGCACATCATCTCCTACCTCTCTCACTTTGTCTTTTCAGCTGTTCCCATCTAATAAATGCAAAACCCCAGAAAAAATGATCTTTGAAAAAACGAACAACAAAACACCACACTGATTAGATCATCACCTTGCATTTGAAATTCTAATTACCGTTGATATTACCGTAGATATTTCAATGTGAGATATGATTCACGATTAGTGGAAATGATGATGAATATGACATTTGTTGTTGTCAGTACCAAACAAACTTTATTTACACCTGGAGAACACCCTTTGAAGGCACCACTCTTCTTCATTATAATGCTGTTTTGCCAAACCTTTCACCTTCATCAAAGAATTGTAGCTTTGGACAAGGCAGATCTGTTTCTTCTATTTTTACATTGCATTTGATGTTTTCCTGTTGTGCAAGTAAACCTTTCTCATTGAATTTTTATTTGCTATTTAACATTCCTTGTTGCAAGCTAATTTTCAGAAAACTTTAAGCAATGTTCTCAAAAAGTGGTGGGGACATATCCCCAGTGTATATGACACCTATGGTTTCTCCTTTCTTTTCTGTTGCCAGCCAGTGTCACAGTCTGCATTGAGCAGGAGGGAATGAACTGGGTTTGAACCTCACCATAGCAGAGATGCTCACAAGTCTTGAGCACGAGTCCAAGTCAAGTCTCAAGTCTCTGAGCACAAGTCCAAGTCAAGTCTCAAGTCTCTCGTGGTTATTACGAATGTTGTATCACCTGCTGTGTTCAGTCTAGGCTGCTTATAACACTGCATAGCTATAAAGAATTTGTAACTGTAACCTGTTTTTCGTTTACAGAGCACAATCATGCAGCCAATGTACAATGTGTTTACAATTAATGACAGCTTATAAACTACTGTAATTCAACACATCCCCCAGCACAATCATAATGTGCAATGCAATGAATGACAGCTTAAACTACTGTAAGTCAACACATGCTGCAGACTCTCAAACCAGTGTATAACTAAATAAAACTGTAAGGCTACATGATCAACAATAAACCTGTAACCTCTTTCAAGCCAACGGCAATAATTAATTAAGGTGATGGCATAGACTGTATGGGTGATGGCAGCCAGCGGGACGTAAATGATTACTTTAATCCACCACCACAAGTTTGGCAAGTAAACAAACGCTCGTTCATCTTTTCATAACGAACGACAGTCGGAGTAAACCTCTGGTAGGTCGTAGCTGAAGCAAGCTAACGTTAGATGGCCAATGCTGAGCTAAACATGTTTACTCACCACATATTGCGTTCAGCGCTTCTTTGTTTGGGTCTTGTTGTATGAAGTTTTAAAGCCAAAGTTTATGATGAATGGCTCAGCAGCTGCCGGTGTTTGTTGTCCTCTCTCACGTGTGGCCGCGCGCGTGCAGCTGATACTACCTGTTCCGTAGGCAGGTTATAGGTAACGGAGGGAGAGGAGCAAGCTCATCAGACATTTCCTAAAATAAACATTGTTCACAAGTCCCGCTCCTCGAGTCTCAAGTCGGGTCTGAAGTCACTGTGTGTGCGACTAAAGTCTGGAGTCCCCATCTCTGCACCACACCACGTTACTTGTGGTTTAGCAATAGCAATCTATTTAGACATAGTACTTTTCAAAACATCCAATAACGTGCCTAAATAAAAATACAACCTCCAGGAGCTTAATGAGAATAAAAGTACTCAATATCTTTTCATTTGTCTATAATACATCTGTTTTCACTACATCAGTAATTTTCAAGGCACAAAGGCTTGGCTTTTCCATTTAATACTTTAGGTTGCCTGATCTGAACCCGAGTGAACTTGCCTGGCATGCTCTGAAGGACTTTGTGCGATGTGAAGCCAAGCCACACAACATGGAGGAACTCATTGCTGCAACTGAGACATTCTGGACCACCAAACTCAGAGGAAGCTGTATAATAATGCACCATACAAACGTCCAAGAGAGTGACAATGTTCCATGTACCCTAACCTGCATACATTCCTCCTCCGGTCATACTACAGCCTCAGCTCCCAGCTGACAGGATGACACTATGGTTAAACAGTTTTGGAAAATAATCTAAATGTGATTTTTTTTTTTACCAGTATTGCAATTGCGATTCACTATGCAATTATTTTTTAATAACTGATGTACTCTTCCTCTTTGACACTGAAATTTGTTTTGCCAGTCTGAAATGTATGGACTAAATGAAGGAATGACACTGAGCTCATTTAGGCATCATTTAATGTTAATAATGTAATTCAATGTCAATATATTTACACAAAAATATATGCATGTTTGCATTAACAAAATGTCTTTCAGTATAAGACAATCACTCCACCTTACTTAACAACCAGGTATTTCAATTGAAGATGCACATCAATCCAGTATTATTACTGTAGAAGTCAGCCATGATAAGAAGAAAGGAGGTTAGAGAGTAAAATGGGTTGCTTATGAGCAATGGTGGAGAAGTATCAAATTATAATTTCAGAAAAAGATCATTTGAGAGTCATGGCATGGCATTAAATAATATCATATAATATCATCAGATAGGCCTATGCCTTTTTCTGAATCACAGCAAGCAACAAAACTCAGTTTGATGAAAATAAAACCAAACTTTCGTGCCTAATAGAGAAGCTGAGTAATTCCCACCTGGACTATTTAATGTACTGTAGGAGAGGACAGGAATTACATCACTGGACTTCTTCTTCCTCAACACTCTCTTAACTACACAATGTATGCCTCCACAAACCAAAGAAGATTAGTATTTTTGATTATTAAAACTACTAAACTATGTTGATGAATGGTTGTTTTAAATAGCATAACACAAATGTCCATTATGAAATTAAGACTGTGTAATGTGTAAGTATACTTTACAGGCCAGGCAGAAAACTGAACAGTTGGACAACTGAGGGCTGTGACTCATTCCCAAAGAGTTTCGTTGCATTTGTGTTTAGCCATTATCTGCTTGCCAAGCCAAATAGTAGAGACAAAGAGAGACTGCATGTGCTCGCATGTGCCACCTGGTGGTTGTTGGTGTGCACTGCAGCTACTCCCAGTTTAATTATTTCCCCCTTCACTGCCACCACAGCATTACCACGGTGTTCAAATACCAACTGCATTCTGGCTTCATTTTAAAATGCCTGTATGGTGTGGCATAAAATGCATGCGTGACTTGGACTGAACCTGTATGTTGCAATCTGAGCCATGACTTTTATTCTGGCTGCACACTAGAGGATAAATGGGCCGACCCCAGGGCCAATTCGGCCCTCCCGACAATCGTGGGGGAATTCCAGATCCAACGCTGGTGAGAACAGATAATTGCCTCAAATGATCCTGTAGTGTGAGGGGTTAACACACAATCTTAATATCTTAACATTGTCCTATTACTGTACTATTGTAACAGTATACTATTAAATGAACAATATACTTTTTATTAAATGCTATCATATTATACTAACAGACTGATTTCTACTAGTTCCTCTACCAGTTTGTCAATAGTGCCTCTAGATTTAGCCAGAGCCAGGATGCTCCTTCTAGCCGCCTCCACCTGAGAGCAACACATTCACTAAAGTTATTGTTATAAATATTGATCAGTAATCTTGTTAACATTAAGTGTGGTGTGAGTTGTGTGGGTGCTGCTTGGATATATATCTCTCTCTCCGTTCCTGGTTCAAGTCCACAAGCCTTCAACCACTTATCCAGGCTCGGCTCCTGGGGACAGCAGCTCCAGCAGGCGACACAAAGTAGCTCCTTTCGACACAAAGCAGCAGCGGCTCTCCTCCGAGTTCCTCATGAATGACTTGGCTTCTCACCCAATCTCTAAGAGAGACACCAGCCACCCTCCTGAGAAAACCCATTTTGGGCCTCTTGTACCCACAATATAGTTCTTTCAGTCACGACCCAGCCTTCATGGCCATATGTGAGGGTAGGAACGACAATTGACCAGTAGATTGAGAGCTTTGCCTTCTGGTTCAGCTCTCTTTTCGTCACATTGGTACAGCAGAGCAAATGCAATACTGCCCGCTGCTCCAATTCTCCAGCCAATCCCCCCCATCCATTGTCCCCTCACTTGTGAACAAGAGCCCGAGGTACTTGAACTCCCTCACTTAGGGTAAAGACTCTTTCCCTACCTGAAGTGAGCACTCTATCCATTTCCTGCTGAGAACAATGGCCTCACATTTAGAGGTGCTAATCCTCATCCCAGCCACTTCAAACTGCTGCAAACTTATCCAGTGAGTGCTGAAGGTCACTAACCGCTGATGCAGTCAGGACCACATCATCTGAAAAAAGCA